TGGGTGTGCGCGAAACCTCGGTCGAAGTCGGAATCGGGCGTCGCGCTGCTTAGAAATATGCCTGCTGCTGGGTGGCGAGAAGCCTGAGTTGCCCCAAACCAATGCGGTAGGATCGCTCCTAATATGTGGCTGGCAACTACAGACAGACCACAGAGATGCTTGTGTGGACGTGCGTACACGGGCGCACCTCACTTTCAGCAAGATTACGTGGGGTGAAAGGGTTTTAAGGAAGCGGAGGGATTATCCGAGCCGAATGGAGGAGCTCCGTGACTCTGCGCGCTCATGATTTAAGGAAATTATACAAAATAGGGACATCTAAAATGTGTGCCAGTGGGTTTTGCTGCAAACTCTGACCTTGCCATTTTAGATACCGGGGAGGTAGCAAAGGGGAGTAGGGGAGAGAGAGAGAATGAGAGAGAGAGAGAGAGACCTGGATCTAATTACACAATACCGGCTTTTTAGGCTCCAATGGAGAAACTTTTGATTTGCAAGCTACTTGCTCTGATCTGATTTCACATTTTTTTTGTTTAACAGCGTTTCATGGATGGGGCATGCCTCTATTCATAAAATCAAGTGGACTTAAAATATGTAAATAGTGTCTTTTGCCAAATCTCTTGAAGCCCAGCCTCATAAATGTTGTAAATATTCCTTGGTGTGTATTTCTAGGAATTTAAAGGAGACAGCAGATAATATCCAACTAAGTACAAACATGCCTTTAGAGCACATTATTTAAAAAATTAAAAGGAACTAAACCCCAAGTAACACTGATTTAAAAATAAGCATGTGGATGGTTGCAATCTTAATCTAAAGTTATTTTTCAACAAGTTGGCTATGCATCCCTTCACTCTTAAACATTTTTAAATGATAGAAAGTGAAGGATTAATTAAACCCTCTAAGCAGGTTACCTTTATAGCTAAATAATTAACTTTTCATTACAAATTAAAGATGGTATAAAAACTCATTATAAGAATTAGAGTGTCACACTGGAAGAGCCACAGTGTAGGTAGTAGGCAGGAAATCTTGAAGCCCACTTTTGAAATCAGTAGAAGATACCACCAAATTTCTTTAATTATACTTTAAAAAATGAAACTTAAGATGCTGCCTACTTTTGCTATTTATATGGACAGAAAAATTACTTTAGAAATTTATTAATTTCTTGTCCCTTTTCATACAATACAGGTAGTCCTCGACTTACAACCACACGTGGGACTGGAATTTCTGTCACTAAGCGATGCGGTCATAAAGTGAGATGTCACATGACCGCATCGCTTAGCAACAGCAATCCCAACACTCCCCATTGCAGTCGTTAAGCAAATTCCACCAGTTGTTAGCTGAGGACCAATCCCAATCCAAGCAATTCCAATTTCAATACTGAGCCCCAAGCCTCAGTAAGGTAAGGGACTGCCTCCAACTCCCTCCACCCTCCTATCTCCCCCCACATTTCTGCCTTTCGTCTGTCCTCCCCCCCGCCCTCTAGGGCAGCAAGCAGTCCCAGAATTACATGGCTCTGGGGCTGCTTGCCAAGCCCCGGGAAGTGCAGCCACCCCAGCCCAGTCCCAGCCACAGTTGTCCTCATCACCCTGCACTCCGAGAGCCCTGCACTCTACCACCCCAGTTGACCTTTACTATCTTCTTGCTCCCACTGCTGATGAGGCATGCCTGGTCTGGCTGCTGGGCCAGGCTGGGACTGGGCTGGGGTGGCTGCACTTCCCGGGGCTTTGCAAGCAGCCCCAGCACCCTGTAATTCTTTGGCTGCTTGATGCCCAACAAACACAGGGTCAGGGCAGGCGAAAGGCAGG